GAAGGAAATGGATCTGGCAAATTAAATGGAAAACTATCCGAAGTAAGATGAAGGCAATGCTCTACAATTTGCCCCCCTGCCTCAGGTCATAGACCTGGGGCTTTCCACTCTATTGTAGCGTGTCCCGCCCTTAACCCAAAAACTCAGAGACGATGCGCACCAGGTATGTCCCAGAAGGTCATATGAATATAAGATCATTCAGACCTGGCCACCTGTCTTAGCCTGGATTTCCCAGAAAGGAGAATCTGAGGCAGAGGGCTCATAGGATTCAAAAGTTCACTAGGGAATATAATCCCCTAAAGATTACAGGGAGCAGGAGTGAGGAAGAAGGGGAGGGAAGCAGAGAAGGAAGGAGAACCAATCCAAGGAAGCTAGTCACTGAGCTGCCTACCTCTACTAAGTGCAAATGCTGGCTACATATGTGGGCATCCGTTCACAATATATTTCTTTAATACTCATTAAACCCCAGGTATTACGCAAAAAGCTGTAGAGTCGGTGCCTGTCCTCACCGCATAGTGAGTGGGGAGGGAGTAATTAACCCACCAGCTCTTGCCTCCCATTGGCTGACGGTTCACTCCTACAGGACTCCCCCTGCCCCCACCTACTTCCAGCTTGCACATGGTGGGCATCAGGCAGGTCTCATGGAGGCATCCACCGAGGTGCCCAAGCAGGGAGATGAGAGGTGACCAGTGTGCACATAGACAAAGCACTGTTGGGCCCATGGGAAGTCAACTGGAGCCCAGGTGCCGGGGGTTTGTCCACTGGGACAAGAGACGGGCAAGGCCAAGAGGATGGGAAACACCAGCCATGGGAAGAGTGGGGAGGACAGGATGGGAGTGGCTATCTGCAGCTGCACACTGGGGCACCTCGAGCCAAGTGTCTCGGCCACAGCCGGCACCACGTGAAAGAGCCAGACGCTCGGAGGCAGATGGAAGGGACAGTAAGCACATTCTAAGTCTGGGGAGTGAATGGCATTTCACAGGCCTCCAGGGCTTCTCAGAAGGTGCTATGCTCTGATTCATAGTCCATGTCCTCCACCACTTGGGGACCCAGCGAAATCACAGTTCCCTCCTCCTGGGGAGGCAGTCAACAATGAAGCCTCACCAGTTTGCAGGCAGCCTGTGTTCCGGTCCCAGGCCTGCCACCTCCTGGCTTTGTCACCTTCTGCAAGCTTCTGTGACCCTCCCAAACAACCTCAGCCTCGGTTTCTTTATCCGAAGAAGGGGAAGTTGAAAAATAAATAAATAAATAAATAAAAGGGGAAATCATTATATCCAATGAGATCATTCAATGCCATGGTTAGCCCATAGTCTGGCACACAATAAATTCTCCATAAATAGAAGCTTCTGTGGTTATTGTGCCACCAAACTCTGTGCCCCCAGGAGTATCGTGTTTCTCTGGGAAAACTTAGGATGGTTGGACACTCAGAGAGGGCTCTAAATCCTTAAATATATCAACTGCTTCTATTTTAACACTGCTGTGAGCAAATAAAAAAAACTTGGCAAAATCACCTGAAACAAAAATATAATCAAGTAGTAAAATTAGCACCACATGTTTCCTTCTTCACTCCAGGGCCCCTGGTGCTCACCAGCACCCCCAAGAGTGAGTCAGTTCTGGCAGAAGAGAAATGAACTCATCCTGAAAGAGAATCTCTTATTCTTTACCCCACTAATCCTTTTCTTTCAGACTCAGTGTTTCAGCCTCAAGGAGGACGCTTGTGAATGACTATGTAGGCTTATGACATGGCCCCGTGTGTTTATAACTTGTCATAAGCTGATGTACCTACTTCTTGACACTCAATGGCCCCACTCTGTGTTGATTTTTGAGTGCCTGGGACTCTTCTTAAGGCTTTTTTCTTGTTTCAGTGATAGAGGAGTGACAGCAGTGACAGAGGGTATTATCAGTGATGAGTTCATCACTTCGTTAGCCTCCCCCGGACGTCGACAGAGCCCTGAATTTGTGCCAGGCCATTGGGGATACAGAGGTGGCTCTCTAGGGGAACACATCCCACAACAGGTGAGCCCAGAGGCTCAGGTGTGTGTTCAGTAGATACTCACTGAGCACTTATCAAGCCCAAGCACTGTGATAAGAGCCATGGACTCCGTGCCTGCCCTCAGGGTGCTTGTGAGCTACGGGGAGAGACTGACAACTAACAGATGATTGCAATGTAAGGAGACGGGCAGTGCACGTGGAGGAACGTGCCCCTGTGCCCTTTCTAGAAATCTACTCCAGGAGCCCCTACCCGGCTGCACTACAGCTAAGCCACTCCACGCTCAGTTCATCTCAACTTTCCAGGCTCTGGATATCCGTTCAGACCATTCTTCTCTCTTGGATGAGACTTTTATGTTTATCAAATAGGGCAAAGACTATTTTTTTAAGGGGTTGATAAACACTCCTCTACACGAGACTTTCCTGTCTGGCTAAAAGCCACCAGCCTGGATTACCAAAATGTCTCAGAGCTCAGGGCCTAAGAGAGGGAGAAAGTTCCTCTCACTCCATAAAAGGCCCGCCTAGCAAATTCCCATTTCCAGGCCCCAGACTGCCTCTTCCCAGGTGAAAAGCCCACTCCCTTCAGTGGAGACCCCTCCTCCCTGTCAAGCCTTTCTCAGGCTAATTAATACCCATGCAGTGGCTGAAATGAGCGGTATATATCTCTATCTCCCTAAATTACCAAAAATCACCCCAAAATGGTCAGCTCCTTTTTTAATTTTATAAAGTCTTTATGGATACATATAGAAAATTGCAGGGGCGCCTGAGTGGCTCAGTCGTTAAGAGTCTGCCTTCAGCTCAGGTCATGATCTCAGGATCCTGGGATCGAGCCCCACATCAGATTCCCTGCTCAGCAGGAAGCCTGCTTCTCCCTCTCCCACTCCCCTTGCTTGTGTTCCCTCTCTCGCTGTCTCTCTGTCAAATAAATAAGTTCGGGTGGGCTTTCCTAAAAGAGAACAGTTTCTATCAAAGCTATAGTCAAGACCCTACCTTTTGCATGACTGAAAACCATTGAGAGTGCAGAAATGATCTTTTCCCCACCTTTGACCCCTCCCGAAAAGGTTCCAAAGAACAGCCATTAAATTGCACTTTCCCCCAGAGGGCTCTGAAAGAAGGGTGCTTCTTTCCAGCACATGGCCAAGGACAGGGAGCTTCATGATCAGCCCAAATCCCATCTCTGCCCAGCTTTTTGTGCCCGCTCCAAGGGCCACATTTGATATTTGTCATCTACTCTTTTGTATGCCACACCATCACACTTGCCCTGGACCCTATGGCCGTCTAAGGCTCAGACAAAATCATTGACTCCACAGGCCTCCTAAACATCAACTTTGGTGTCAGACACTGGGTTAGGAGCTAGGAACACAAAGGTAAATATGTCTGGGATAGCTAGCTGACCGCCAAATTTTTTGTGTGTGTGTTTCTCCTCCCCCCGCCCCAGCCCCTTCATAAAGTTGTCACAGAGAACTGACTTCCTAACCCGGAACAATGTCTTCCCCGTGCTCCTGCATTTACATGGGACTGTGTGACCATTTCTCAACTATGGAAAGTGAGCAGAAGTAATGTGTGTCATTTTGGAGCCAAAACGTTAAGAAGTACGGCTTCCTCACCCTCTCTTCCCTTATCCAGTGGCTGGATACAGGATTCTCAAGACCTAAGGCATGGAAGATCCATAGAAAGGAAGGAGTCAGAGTCCCTGGATAGCCACGTAGAGGAAAACCGCCCATCAACCAGGAGTATCTATTATGTGATTGAGAAATGAATTTCTGCTGTGTTAAGCCACTAAAACATGGGAGATTGTTACAGCAGGTGACATCCCTCTAACTCTTACAATGAACAAGATATAGGCTCTATCCCCAAGATGCTAATATATCAGAATGTTTAGACTTGCATTTTAGAAATCTCTTTCCAGCAATGGGAGGGAGAAGAGACCGAAGTGAGACCAGTTCAGAAAGAAGTCTGGTATATAATTTTACATATATATATTTTAAATGCATGATAATATATTTTTATAATTACATTGTATATATATCAGCTATTATTTTCATTTTTACAGGCACAGCATTTCCCCCTTCTTCTTGTAACAACACCCTAATTTTCCTCGATCCAGGTAGTTTAAGTGGGACTGAGTCACCATTGTCCTAAAGGTTGGTTTGGACAATCAGAGCCAACCAGTGCTATACTGAGACTTTTTCTAGAAGAGAGAGAAAGGCATTCTCTTTTTTGTTGGGTTACTGACAGGGTAAATAGTGGGACTAGGGCTCAAGGCAGACATCTTGCCTCTATTGAGGGAGAAATTGCTGAGTGGAATGGTTGAGGAAGAAAGAGTTAAAACAGCCTGTGATCCATTTCTCCCCCAATGACTAGAGGGACCCCTAGGGAAGAAAAAGTAATCGGCACGGCCTAGTCTCTCTGTAAATGTGTTAACTGACCTCCTGATAATTGCTAACAACGTTTCAGGAAGAAAAGTCCTTATCTATGGAATTAGCAGGATGTCCCTGGTTTTGGCTTGCTTGTGGTAAATGACTCTAGAATCTACAGATATCTGAGGCATGGCTCCCTGGAAAATGTCACATAAGCTCAGTAATGATCTTGCTGTAAAATGGAGACATTCATAACATGAACGCTCCCTGCCATGTAGGATGAGTATAAATATTAGTTATAGACCTCGTTTTACTAAAAGCATGTCTTAAGCAGGAAGGAAGGACCTGGGGAGCCACATGGGATGCCCACATGGGATGCTTTTCTGTGTATTCATTTATCTATTGCTGTGTAACAAATTCCCTCAAAATGTAGTGGTTTAAAACATCATATTATTATCTCTGATGTTCTCTGTGGGCCAGGAAGTTGGCAGGGTGCAACAGGGTCAACATATCTCTGCTCCATAAAGTCTTATGGGATGCGGGGTGGGCAGCACCCTGCTGGGAGGATTCAAAAACTGGAGGGGAATTTCGTGGCTAGTGCTGGAATCACCTGGAGCCTCATTCACTCACCTACCTGAAGATCTGTGCTGTCTGGGGAATCAGCCGTCACCAACGTGGGGTTCCCCTCCATAGCTTGCTCGGCTTCCTCATGGCTTGATGGCTGGGTTCCAAGAGAAAGCATCCCAACAGGAACAGACAGAAGCCATATCACCTTTTATGACCTAGACTCAAAAGTCATATAGCAGGGGCACCTGGGTGGTTCAGTTGGTTAAGGGTCTGCCTTCGGCCCAGGTCATGATCCCGGGGTCCTGGGATTGAGCTCGCATTGGGCTCCCTGCTCAGGGGGGAGTCTGCTTGTCCCTCTGCCTCTGCCCCTTCCCCCTGCTTGTGCTCACTCTCTCTCTCCCCCAAGCGCACGTTCTCTCTCGCTCACCTAAATAAATAAAATCTTAAAAAAAAAAAAAAAAAGATACAGCGTCACTTTGCAACATTCACAAGCCTGTCCGGATGCAATAAAAGGGAATCTAGACTCCACCCCTTGAGGGGAAAAGTGACAAAGTCATATCACAAGGGCAGCATGGAAAATGGGAGGTCTGGTTACAGCCTTCTTGAAAAAATGCAATTTGCTTATGCTGTTTGATTATATTTTTTAAATCACTAGTAAAGATTACTCATCAAGGTAAGATCTCTGATTTGACAGAGGAAATCAGAGCCAAGAGGTGATGAACCAGAGAGAGCCATGATGACCGTGTTTGTGCTGTCTATTTGGCTATGTTTGAAGGTGAAATCATTCTTGGGCTGCCCAAGTGCATGAGCCAAAAATGTCCTCCCTTTTTATTTAAGCTGGTTTGAGTTTTCCTTCACTTGGAATCAAAAGATTTCAAAATAACATAGTGTGTATGTATTATTTACCACTTTGTTCAGTGCTATTTTAGGCTGCTTATAAAAATACATACTATGCAGCAAGATAAAAATGTTTTTTAAAAACTGAGGAAATTAAGCCCAAGAGAAAACAACAATAGAAAAACATGTTTAGTTAAAATAAGGATGAGTTTGGAACTCACAAGTCATGCTGCAAGATCATGAACACTTAACAGAAGGAGGGGAGAGCAGCTAAGAAATTGTGGAAATAATACAGGTGAGGGTGGGAAGGGACATGAGCGGATGGATCCGTTAGGGTTTGTTGACTGACTAAATGTGAAGAACAAAGGAAAGAGTAGGGTACAGTAGAAGTCTGAGAAAGTTCTTATGTTTCTGGCTTAGGTGACTGGAGCAGACAGAAGTACGACTCACCGAGATAGGGATATCCCAAGGAAAAAATGAGTCTGGGGGAGGGTTACTTGGAGGTAAGCCGTTCTTTCTGGACGCTTTGAGTATAAGGTATCATGGGCATGCAACATGGGGTTGTAAGTGGGCAGCTGGTTTTTTAGGACAACAAATGGGGAAGAGCTCTGAACTAGAGATACTGATTTAGTTAACTATACGTATTTTTTTAAGATTTATAATGGGCAAGGCACTGTGCGAATTACTGGAGATAACTATGGAGAAGCCCAGTAGGCAAGATTTGTGTCCTCAGGGAGCTCACGTTCCAGCAAGCATCAACAGCAGATACGTGACGCCTGAGGTCACGGGTGTGCACCAAGTCTCCCGGGGAACGTTGTCTGGGACAAGCCGAGGAAAAGGTCACACAGAGGAGACTGAGGAAGATGGCCAGGGAAGTAGAAGCCAAACCAGAAGGGATGGTCTAAATGCCACCCGGGAGAGAGGACGTGCACTGTGTACAAAAGGACTTAGTAAAACCCAATGTAAATATGTTGTATTATTTATTATTACCATTTGTGGCTCTTCTCTCCCTCTGCCTTTTCTCTTTTCCTCTTTTAGGTACTTGCCTTACTGAAGTTTCTTGAGGGCCGGGACATTTTTCACCATGGTAGCCCCGAGTGGCCTGGCTAGCATCCAGCATTATACCCGGTCAGTGCTTGGGGAGGTAGCATGTCTACTAATTATCATGAGTGTGTGAGCATGTGTGTGCTTCCATGCACATGCATGCACGTGTGGCCGTGCCTGGTCTCCCTAACCTGGGCCAGCCCTTCAAGGACCGAGGCTGGACAGGGCCTTGGGTTCTTGGTCATCAGACCTCCGTTCAGTCTCTCCCATGTTAAGTCACTCGATCAACATGCATTGAACGGAAATTTCTCCCCTGTTCCAGTGGCTAAGCATTCATGTCTGATCTCTGAGCATAAATGTACTGCCTGTAGGGAAACAATTTGTTTTCTTCTCTCCGATCCCTGTTGTTCCTTTGCACAATGTGTTCTCACAGGGCTGTTTTTATTCCAGTGTTGGAATAAAGGTTTCCAAGGTTAGTAAGCAGGGCACTTAGCCTCACCAAGCCCCAAACAAACCAGGTCTGCTGGGATCTGAAAAGGCAGCCCTAGCAACAGAATTTGGGACCAGAGGGACCTAAGAGATCATCTAGAGATGGTGCAAGTCTAGTCCCGCCCCTCTCTTACAAGCAGCAGAACAAATACTGAGAGAATTTCCAAAACTTGTCCAAGGACACAGCTAATTAATGGCAGAGGTGGGATTAGACCCAAGTTCCCAGACTCCCAGGCCTTTGATCCTTGCACTGTACACAAGGTTTTCTCTTTGAGTTTTACCTATAAACCTAGAGGACTTTGCCCTAAGCTATTCTTCCTATCACATAGGATTTGAATAAGGCTGCAGAGGGATGGCTGGTAGCCTGTTCTTGGGGTGCGCCCAAACAGAAGCACAAGTGAGGGCTCATCATAGCACCTCATGGCATTCCACCTTGCACTTCCGTAACATATATACTAGTGTTTCTATGCGACATTCACATGGCATAACATTTGCGAAGACCGGAGACTAGAAGTTTCTCCAGACTCTTTTTGCAAGACCTTCAGACTGCCACCTCTCTTTAACTGGCTGTCACTAGAATGGCAGGGCGAGGGAAAATACCGTTAACAAATCCAATAAACCAAACCACTTGAAAATGGTCACCCGCTCCCATTTACATCTCACTCGAAGCGCTAATCTTCTATCTGCGACATTAGAATCCTCTCCAGTGGCAACTAACTGTGGTGTCACAAACAAAGGATTATAACTATTTGAGGAAGACGCAGTGGAGAGGAAAGATCCTGTTTCCACGTCAGTGTTTCTGGCAAATTTGTTCTTCAAGACACAAAACAGAGCATCCTCTCGATTCTCACATTTAATCAAAACAATAATACTTAATACCTTTTGAGTCTCTTGGTGAATACTTTTTCACATATGTGACCCCAATTAATGTTTGTAACAATCTTTCAAAACAGAAATGATTCATAATTCACCACAATGGAAAAGCCGAGTTAGAAAGGTTAAATAAATTGCCCAGTGTTGTTACAGATGGTGCGCGGCCACACCAACACTTCCTACAAGAGAGCGGAGGGATTAAATGGCGATATTCAAAATATGAAATATGATATGGACAAATTCCATAACCTTATAGGTTCTTAAAGAAACCACAGATGTCAGATAAAAATGTATCATCCCTTGGGGCACCTCGGTGGCACAGGCGGCTAAGCGTCTGACTCTTGGTTTCGGCTCAGGTCATGGTCTCAGGATCCTGGGATGGAGCCCCATGTTGGGCTCTACATTCTGTGCTCAGTCTGCTTGAGACTCTCTATCCCTCTCCCTGCCCCTCCTGCTGTGCTCTCTCTCTCAATCTCTAAAATAGATAAATAAATCTTTAAAAAAAAAAAGTTATTGTCCTTTTTACAGACAAAGCTCCCAAGACCTGAAGAAGTTAAGGGACTCTTTCCCAAATTCCCAGAGCCAGCAAGTAGCAGAAGAATAAACTCCTCATCTCTTATTCATGCTCTAGCACACTGATCTGTAAGGTAATAATCTCAATTATGACCAAGCATCCAATAGGTGCCAGGGACAGTTCTGGGCACATCATTTATCTCATTGAATCCTTGCAATAATCTTATCCTGGACAACTATTACAATCCCCATCTTATAAACAAAGAAACTCAGGCCAAGAGAAATGGAAAGTTAGAATACACCAGAGCCTAAATGCAAAGCCAAGTCTCCCCACACTGGCTTGTTCCCTTTGTCTAGTTCAAATTATGTACCCCCCCGCCAAAAAAATTGAAAGACTCTGAATCACCTTTATCATCAAAAAAAAAGGAGGGGGGGACCTGGGTGGCTCAGTCGGTTAGGTGTCTGCCTTCAGCTCAGGTCATAATCCCAGGGTCCTGGGATGGAGCCCCACATCTGGCTCCCTGCTTAGCGGGGAGTCTGCTTCTCCCTCTACCCCTCCCCCAGCTCATGATCTCTCTCTCTCTCAAATAAATAAATAAAATCTTTTTTAAAAAAAAGATTTTCCACCTACCTATCACTGTGCTTCAAATTTCCCCTATCTGATTCATTTCTTCAAAATGATATTATGGAAGAGACTGCTAATTGTCCACCAGTTTCCACGTTCCCCTCCATATTACCTAGCCCCCCTTCCCTGCAGTTAGCAGTGGAATGTGAGGAGTGGACACATACCATGCTGGCCTAAGTCCCAAGACCACGGGTGTGTCTCCCTTGCACACTTTTCCTTTCTTGCTGGCTGGACACTGGCAAGGAGGCAACCAAACTTGAACCACGCAGATGAGGGCCACACCCTAGGGGATGGCAGACAAGTGAAACGAAAGAAGTGTAAATCCTTGAATGACTGCGTGGAGCAGACCCACATGCCAATCTGGGACATTTACCTCATACCATTATCTGAGAAAGAAATTGAATTCTATCCTCCTCCAGCCACCAAATTATTGAGCAATAATAAATATCCATTATTTCAAGCCGCTGAGTCATACTGTCACGCAGCAATATCTGCTGATGCGAGTAGCATGGGCAACTTCTCTCAGGCCTTTCCATGGTTCTGGCAACAGGAAGTGGCGGACCAGGTTAAATATTCTATTGAGAGAAGAGTGAGTTGCTGACAGAATCAAGAGAAGGCTGGAGAGGCAGTCTCTGAAAAATAGGCAGGAGAAAGGGAAGTTGGGCAACTGAACCCAGGGCCCAAAATTACACCCCAGCAACCACCTGGAGACACACTCCTGTGGCCACTGCTGGCCACTGACTGGACACCAGATCTGGCACTGGGAAGTGGACACCACTGGGGTTACCGTGACCATGGCCGCTCTGGAATCCATGGTTGCTGCTGCTGGAACAAAGTCCCACCCCTCCCCCATCCTCGCTTCCTTGCCTCTCTCGATCCAGAGTCTAAGTCTGAGCCAGAGAATCTGATTGGCCACCTCTAGATGAAGTACCTAAGCCTGGTCTTCTTGGGAAGGGGGGATATATCTGGCTGTTTCATCAACTCTAGTCCCACTATGACTCCTACAGGAAAGAGATTCAGATGTTGGGCAGGCAAAGAAAAAATAATAATAATATAAAATAAAAGCTGCAAAGTGTCCTCCAGGAAGAAAAATGCTTCTAGAGCAGTATGGTTCTATGGAAACTCTCAGGTTTGAGAAGTGCTCTCAGAGGGCTACTGCTTCCCCCCAGCTTGCTACATCCGACCTCCTGGTTTGTCTTAATCAGGACTCTCAGTTACAAAGGACAGAAACATAATTAAAACTCTTTTGTGCTTTTTAAAATGGAGGAGAATTATTGGCTCAAATAAGTAAATAGTACAGACATATTTGGGTGCGGCTTGAATGTTGTCACTGGGGCTATTTCTCTGTTCTGCTTTCCCTGGAAGGCCCTCCATTATCACTATGGATCTCCCTGTATGCATGATAGCTTCTGCATCCTGAGGCATGTATCCTTTCTGCTCAGTGTACGCAGAGGAAACTGAGAGTCCTTCCTCCACCATTCATGGAACCTCTGGCATTAACTGGTCCATGTCCTTTGCTGAACCAGCCACGGTGGGCAGATGGTACAATGGTCACATTCCCACACCTGCAGTCAGCTCCACCCAAACCACAGGGACAGTGAGTACAGGATGGCAGTTCCGCAAGGGAAATTAGGATCCTGCTATGAGAGGGAGGAGGATAGGCAACAAGAGGGGTCTATCAAAGGGTCAAATTGATGCCCTGGCCTAGGACACCCATAGGTTAGGTTGAAGAGGTTGAAAAAAATCACCATACAATCCGAACTAAATAAACAAGCCCCCCTAAATCAGATCTCTTTCTCCCATCCTCTGTGAAGCTTAGCTTTGCATCCCCAAGACAGACCTGAATGTTTGTCTAAAAAGGATAAACACCATCTGATGTAGTAAAACAGGGTTTCTCAACCTCAACTGTTGACATTTGGGGCTGGATCGTTCTTTGTTGTGGGAGGTCTGTTCTGGACATTGTGAAATGTTTAGCAGCATCCTGGTCTCCACCCTACCCCCAGTTATGAAACTAAAAATGTCTCCAGAAATTGCCAAAATGGGGGGGCCTGGGTGGCTCAGTTGGTCGAGCATCTGCCTTCAGTTCAGGTCATGATCTCAGGGTCCTGGGATTGAGTCCCATGTTGGGCTCCCTGCTTAGCGGGGAGCCTGCTTCTCCCTCTCCCTCTGCCCCTCCCCCTGCTTGTGTGCTCTCCTTCTCTCTCAAATAAATAAATAAATAAAATATTTTTTAAAGAAAGAAAGAGGGAAGGAAGGAAGGAAGGTAAGAAGGAAAAGAAAGAAATTGCCAAATATCCCCTGGAGACAAAACTGCTCCTGGGCACCGACAGGTAAAAACCAGCCTATTAGAAGGCTTGAGAACAGAGAGGAAGCGCTCTAAATCCTCACCAGGAAGGACAAACCTGAGTCACCTGAGTCACCTGGCCCAGCCGGGCCCCTCCACAGCTCTGGGGCCTGCACAGCTGGACTCCCGATCAGAACTGGGCTATAGAGACAGAGATCGGACAGAGCCAGAGATCTTCTAGTCCTGCTCTAAAACTTTTGCTCGGGGCTGGGTCTGGCCTCAGCATGCCAGGGTCTCCCCTGCAAGTCAAGTTAGATGTCATCACACCTCCCAGCACATTCTGAGTGCCTGCTGCATGCAAGACACCACTGGGTACCTGCATGAACTTTTTCTCACTCAGTCGCCACATCCATACTCCAATACAGATGTTAGATCATTTTACAAAGGGGGAAACTGAAACTCTGGGAAATGAACTACCCCCAAATTACACTTAGTAAATGCTTAAAACTGAGATTCGAAATCGTGTCTCTCTTTTCCAAGGGGCCCTGCGGCCGCTCTGTACCACACTTCTGACGGCGTTTTGCATGCAAGCTATCATAACTTATGATCTATATTCCAGGTTCTGTTTTCTTTGAGGTTTTATTGTATATTTTCTCTTTTTCTCCCTGTGCCTTTGGTTTCTGCTTTGAGAGTTTAATCCCTTTTATCACTACAGATCCCAAACAACAAAGAACCAAATAACATAATGACTATTACTCTCCATGGATGACCATACTTCACTGTTTCTCTTGGAGATTTGGTCATTTTAGAGATTTGTTTCATGATTTCATTTGGAATTGGGGGTTGAGGGGGTTCAGGCCACTGCCTGGATTTAAATGTATCATCTTAGACCCCTCATAATATGATGAAGGGGCTTATGCTTGGGATTCAGACGACCTAGGTTTTAATTTGGGCCCTACCACAGATTTGCTGTGTGACCATGGGAAAATGATTTAACATCTCGAATCTCATTCTTTTCAACTATAAAATTAGAGGCCTGGACTTACTAATCTCAAGTACTCTTCTAGCAAGCTGAGGGAAGGTACTAAATCTGAAATTAATTCCATGAAATATTTAAAATAGGCTTCAAATAAGTAGCAGGTGCTCCTTTGCAGGGAGGAGGCTGGAGAGAGCTCCTCTGTGTGGAAAAACAGCTCACAGCTGACTTCAGCTATGCTCCATGAGGACAAAGAAGGGGGTAGGGCTGTGTCACCTGAGTCTTGATATAAAAGTTAATTAAAAATGCATGCCCAGGCTGAAGGAAGACACCTAGTGAATTAGTGATGGCCCTCGGATGTCTCCGTTTCAGGGGTGACAGCATTCGTACAGAAGGCAGGAGGTGGGACCTGGAGTGAGGCCCTGCCAAGGAACAGGGAGCCTGGCTCAGAAGGTCCTCCTCGCCTGGTTTTGGGTGTAGCCATGGTGCAGAAGGAGGCTGCTTCTAAGTATTAGGTTAACATGATTCATTTAGCAGGAGTCGTGGGGCAAACGCTGAGCCTCCTACACCACCAGGGCACACACGGCCAATCCCGCCGCCTTCTGTCTCCCAGCCAGAAAAATACCAACACTAAGGTCAAAAAGAGGGGCCCCGCAGCAGGAGTAGTGACCCTACCGAGATGACAGAGTAGCCCAACCTCCCCCCTGCCAGGAGCCCATGACCTCTGAAGGCACGAGGGAGTTTGTCAGGCAGGGGTCCCCCTCCCCACCTCTCCCTGGCACTCTCAGGCCTAGCACAGCTGCTGTCAAAATGTTTCTTCTGTCCTGAGTCCTTGGAGGGAGTCTCTAATGGATCCTCACAGCCTAAGAATGTGAAACCCACCAGAGCTGGAGATAACCCACCTGCTTTTCGTAGTAATGGTGGTAGGAGAGCTCAAGAAACCCTCCAGGGAGTAATCAGGGAAAGGAGCTTCCTCCTCTCTCTGCCCTCGCCATGGGCCATGCGCCGGGGACTGCACGCCCTGCTTGTAAAGGGAAGGCCCGGAGGCTGTTGGGGAGCCACCCAGGCCCTCCCTGGCTCCTCACATCCTGGGCAAATACACAAGCTCCCTGGTCATATGCACAGGGAAAGTCAGTCCCAAGCAGTGGTGAGGAGGAGACAGTTCAGGGAACAATCCAGCATGAGGAGAGTGAGAAGAGGAATGCCAGGTGGCCCCAGGCTAGTAAGATGTCTGGAAGATGCCAGTCACCGAGGTTGGGAGGTGGCCACATGCAGCTAGCAAGTGGACAGAGAACCTGGAGCTCAGGGATCATGCCTTTGGGGTCATCAGCCACAGGGAGATAGCACTTGCAGGGTGGACAAGTCTGGATAGCAGGCGTGAGCAGATGAATAACAAAAAAATCTCATCTTGGGCACCTGGGTGGCTCAGTTGGTTAAGCGACTGTCTTTGGCTCAGGTCATGATCCTGGAGTCCCAGGATCGAGTCCCCCATCGGGCTCCCTGCTCAGCGGGGAGTCTGCTTCTCCCTCTGACCCTCCCCTCTCTCATGCTCTCTCTCTCTTTCTCTCAAATAAATAAATAAAAACCTTTAAAAGACTTCATAAAAAGAAAAAAACACCTCATCTTAAGGTTCGTCCTCTGCTGAAGATGCTGGGTTATCTCTGCCAGTTCCCTTTTCAGTGATTAGGAAGTACAAATGTGATATATCACATATAAATTTTGAAACAGCGCGTTGAAGTCTCAGCTAAAAGGGGAGCCAGCAGTCCTCAGCACCTTCCGGGCTTTGTCAGATGTGCTGGGAAAGCTTCTGACTCCCCCAGGCCCAATGGAGGTCTCCTCCATCCGCTCAACACATACCTCCTCGATTTCAGGCCTTCATCTGCTCAGCTTACCCTTGTACCCTGAGTGCTAGAACGGTCTCTGGCACATGGAAGGGAGTCAAGAATGAATGAATGAATGAATGAATGAATGAACGAATGAATGAATGAAAAATTAATCATCAGTCTTTCTACTAAACACTAGACCCCTTCTTAAAAGCCATTTTTATATCCAAAACCCCTATTCCAGCGCCTGACACACAAAAGTGCTGAATAGGGCGCCTGGGTGGCTCAGTCATTAAGCGTCTGCCTTCGGCTCAGGTCCTGATCCCAGGGTCCTGGGATCGAGCCCCATATTGGGCTCCCTGCTTGGCAGGAAGCCTGCTTCTCCGTCTCCCACTCCCCCTGCTTGTGTTCCTGCTCTCGCTCTCTCTCTCTGTCAAATAAATAAATAAAATCTTTAAAAAAAAAAAAAGTGCTGAATAAATGTTTCTAAATGAGGTAAAATTGCCCAATGCCAAGAGCAGGTCATGTTTGCTCTGGCTGCCCTGGGGACCGTGAGCTCCCACCCAACACCCCCCACATCACCTCTCATTCTTCACCTAAAGTTGAGATGAATTTCTGAGTTGTTTTCCAGACAAGCAATATATCCACTTACTTCTCCTCTAAAAACATGTGTGCAAATTATTTCTTTTGGCTAAAGATCAAGCCAGGCAAGTGTCTACCCCCCTCCAACAGCAGAAAAATAAACACAGGACGTAGTAAGAACACAGCTTAAAGGAGGAGAAAATGTCTACCTGTTTTAGTTCATTTGAAGAGCTTATTTCCTAAGAAACTGTGTATTTGCAGAATTATAAATGAGAATGTCCAGACCTCCCAGGCTCTATTTGGTAGAGACAAAACCTCCTCCATGAATCCCCTCCGTAGCCCCGGCTAGCAGTACAGCACCTTCCCCATCAAATCTGCATAATAGACATAATTACTACTATCAGGGTGAGTGACAGAAACACTGTCATTAAAAATGTTGTGTAATCTTCCTTTTTTGTTTTTGCCTATGGCAAATTAAGACCATTTTCCTCTCCTCTTGAAAGGATTCAGCTGTCCTGCTTCTCGTTCTCTTCCCCCACTCCCCCTGCCACCCCCTGCCACCCCCTGACATTCAACTCTTCCGCCCCCCCAACCCCTTCACCCTTTGCTTCTCCCTCCTATTCCCACACCCGTTATCCATTGACTCACCTCCCACTGTTTTTCTCTGGGACCTGACCAGATGCCTCCCCCCTTCTCTTTTAATTTAGGGTTGCTGGATCCTCTCCTCTAGTTAGAAGACTGGAGCCATGACCCACCACCCCCCACCGCAGAGGACTGCGCAGCTCTCCCAGGTCTTGGAATTTGGTCTCAAGGAAGCATTACTGCCACGTGCAGCCTTCTGACAGGAAACCTGTTTGTCGCACAGAATTCGGGCTGTGGTTTGGGTGCCGTGGGAATGAACTTGCAGCGGTCATGTTGAAAGCCAATCCAGCCGCGGTGAAGCATGTGGCCAAAGGTTAACCTTTCCCTGCAGGTTCATGCCAGCTCCGAAAAGCAAGGAGTCTGAAGCAGAAACTAGCAAGCCCATGTGTTAATAAAAAACTAAACCCGATTATAAAATAACCATTTGTATTGGTTTCCTAGGGCTGTAATTACTGCAAATTACCACAAACTGCATGGCCTAAAACAACAGAGATCGATTCTGTCAGGGTTCTGGAGGCTACACGTCCAAAACCAAGGTGTCAGGTGGCTGTAGGGGAAGATACTTCCTTGCCTCTTCCCAGCTTCTGGTGGCTCCCCACAATCCTTGGTGTTCTCTGGCTTGTACTGACTCACTCCCACCTCTGCCTCCTTCTTCACATGGCCTCCTTCCCAGTGTGTCTCTCCGTGTTCCCTCCTCTTCTTCTTTTTTTTTTAAAAGATTTTATTTATTTATTTGACAGAGACATAGCGAGACGAGGAAACACAAGCAGGGGAGTGGGAGAGGGAGAAGCAGGCTTCCCGCAGAGGAAGGAGCCCAATGCGGGACTCAGACCTAGGACCCTGGGTTGCTTACCCTGGGCTTAACAGAATGAGCCACGCAGGCGTCCCTCCCCTCCTCTTCTTTTAAGCCCACCATTCTTTGGGTTTAGGATCCACATTCATCCAGTATGATCTCACCTTAACTAATTACATCTGCAAAGACTATTTCCAAATCTGAAGTTCCAAGTGGACATGAATTGGGGGGTAGGGGGCACGGGAGGGGACTCAACCCCGTTCGCTATTGAAAAGACATAGGAAGATAAATAGATTTTAAAAATAAATTTTCTCTGGATTTCTTCATATTGTGTATCTTTCAAATATCATCTAGAGAAGGGAAGCACTGAAAGGATATATTTTAGGAGGTGTTTTGAGGGGGAGTTAATCCCAAAGAGTTCCCACAAAGCTAATTTAAATGTAGGGACCTGAAAAAAAAAATTCAAAACAATCCTCCTTAATGTTTTTTCAGCTCAGGGTCCACATCTCCTCACTGGAAAAGGGCCCGTCCTTCTGTGCCTCACCTCCCCCACCTCCCAGATACAGGGGCTGAGGAGAGAAAGACACACTGAAAAAAGACCAGAAATGTCAAGGGATGGATGTACAGAAGAAAGATCCCTCAGGCCTTTCAAAGCCTCATTTTGGAGTGAATTAAACTTACTTGTATAAGCTTTGTATAAACTTTTCTTAAAATTTAAGTAAAAAAATATTCAGCAACTAGAACTAAGGTTGCCTTCCTATTTAAATGTGTAGTTCCTATGTCCACACAATCATAGTGAAAGAAAACAGTCAATTATCAAGATATTTTATCAAGATATTTCAAGTCCAAAATCTGATTTCAAAAAAAATAATAATAAAATAAAGAAAAACAAAACCAATTAAAAAAAAAAGTATTGGTTTCAACCAGAAGTGATTTTGCCCTTCCCCCCCCACCCCAGGACGTTTGGCCATATCTGGAGACATGTTTAGTTGTCATGACTAAGAGGGCAGCTACTGGCATCTAGAGACCAGGGATGCTGCTAAACATCCTGCAATGCACAGGAAAGTCTTTCACAACAAAGAATGATCCAGCCCAAAACAGTAACAGTGCTAAGAATGAGAAGCCACTAACTAGCTTATAGAAAATCTTTCTAAAATCATGCTTTGAGCATGTCTCTCTCCTGCCCAAATGGCTGCACATTGTTCTTGAGAATTCAAGCTCCTTGGCCTATTAGACCTTCCAGAATTTTCCCGACGTTGCCTTTCCAGACTTTTCTCTCACTACTCCCACTTATGAACCCTTCTTACCCACCACCTTGGGCCAGCACATACCTGGCTCAAGCCCTTCACAGCTCATCCTACTTTGCGAACGTCTCCCTCTCTCAGACTCAAGCCTTACCTGTCGGGCCACGATCAGCTCAAGCTCCACCCCTTCCAGAAACTCTCTGGGACCAGCCCTCCCCTGTCAATCTCAATCAGTGTCCCCTCACTCAACACTCTCCAGCCACACTGGTCTCCTTGCTGTCCCACTAACACACAAGCTCTTTCCTACCTCCCTGCTCCTGGCTCCCTATGTGGCTGGCTTCTCATCCTTTAGGTTTCAACCATCACCTCAGAAAGGCCCTCACTGACCCTCCTATTCACTCCCCAAGTTCTCCATCATCACTCTATTTGGTTCCTTCATGGTGTTTATCACTATATAGTATCCTGTCTGTTCACATGCTTGCTTTCTTCTTTCCTGCCTTGTTCCTCACACTAGAATATACACTCTGAGGCAGGAACTCTGTCTAGCTTGTTCATCAATATGTCCCAGCCTTGTCATAATACCATGAGTCTGACTCAAAGTAGGTGTTCAAGGGACACCTGGGTGGCTCAGTCGGTTAAGCGTGGGATTCTTGATTTCTGCTCAAGTCATGATCTCAGGGTGGTGAGATTGAGCCCCACGTCGGGCTCTGCACTCAGCATGGAGTTGGCTTGAGATTCTCCCTCTGCCCCTTCTCCTGCTCATGCTCTCTCTCAAATAAATAATCTTTTTTTTTTAAGTATGTGCTCAATAAATATTTGTTGAATGAATGAATACCCTCATTCATATGCACATCTTCTGTTACTGAACTCTTGAGGTGCATCTCTGTCCTTCTCAAGAGCACAGCTGCCCCACCCCAATAGTACAGCATGATGCGTTCGATACCTAGTAGTTACATGTGGAATGAATAATTGCCTGCCTCAGATTTAATATCTCCGGAGCTTACATTCTAGTATTTCTAGATTTAGACTCCACAGCAGACCTGCTTTATAGTAATTCCAAATGGTTGATGGTGGAAGCAGGAAGCGGTATTCTGACCTGGTAAGGTACTTAGGTAAATTACGTGGTGGGTGCTGCATTCTGACGAAGACCTCAAACTTGTTACACATATGTTTTATGGCACTTGTATGCTTTATTATCACTGGGCTTTATATTCTTGCTAGGGAGAAATTTTCATTGGTCCGTTTATCAAAATCTATAGTTTGCTGTGCAAAGACCTGGCAGAGAGCCTCTCAATTTCTAATTGATTTTCCTCCCTAGGCCAGTTACAAAGGAAAACCATCACTGTATTCACAAGGCATTTTGCCATCATTTCCTCCAGTCACCTGTAGCAGAGATGCTGCTTCCGGATACATCTTTTCCTCCTCTTTCATGGTTGTACAATTTTTAGCTGGGGTGTGGCCACCCAGTTCAAGACCACATTTCCCAGACTCCTTTGCACCGAGGTACATCCATGGACAAAGTGCTGGCCCATGGGATATGAATGGAGAATATGTGTGTGCCTTCTTCATGGTGAGCTTGAAAGCTGAGTGCCTTCCCCTTCTTTTCCTCTTCTGGCTTAAGTATGGACGTGATTGTCCAGATGAGGGCAATGTCCAAAATGGCAGAACAACGAGGAAAAGGCAAGTGGATCAATGACGTCCTAGCTGCTGTGCAGCCCTGCATTGAAGTTCAGAATTTCATTTAATTGACTGTTAGTTGGGATCTTGTTCCAAAAGATGGCTGATAGACTCACGGCTTCCTTCCTTCCCCACTAAGAAAGTCAGCAGTAACACCCCCCACCCGTTTGGTCAAACTGAGGTTAAGAGGGGGCATGCCCACACTGGGCAGTAAAATCAGCGGAAATGCTTAGCTTTAAGCCAGTACCTGCTGGGACATGTTTTCCTCAGCTTCCTTGGCCACCCAAGCTTCTCTTTCACTGCCTATCCTTGGCCTTCTCCTAACTCCTTCCAACCTTGATTTTGCCCATGGACACCGATCAGGTGGCAAAGCATGATCTGAAGAAAGGATATTTTGAGAGACCCTGAGCAGGCTTATCTACTGCCAGCAGTGTTTTTTTCGTTCCCAGATGGACTCACCCCATTCCCTTTCCTCAGCTTTCCCTGAGGTGTCATTTACTGCAAGACAGAAGCACAGTTCCTTCTGCCTTAGAGAGGGCTCCAGAACTGATGATCTGAGCCTGTCCCTGTGGATTGTTTTCAGGTTATCAGAGACCCCTCGAACATTAAGACTATTTACTGATATCAAAGTGCTTTCAAATGATCTCCATTTCCCTTCCCTCGTTTACCCTTTGTTGAAAATAGATGATCGTACTGTCCGCAAGTGCTCTAAATGGAAGCAGCCAAGGAAGAAGGTGGGGCGAGTCAACGTATTCGCACAACCAATGTATGTTGAGCACCTGCTCAGGTGCCATCCCAGGCCCTGAGATACATCTGCGAGCAAGACAGATAAGGGGCTGCCTCGCGGAGCTCCCATTTTAGTGGAGGAGACAAACAAGGAAGAAGAGGCGGCACAAGGAAGGAGGGAGAGAGAAGAAGGGGAGGGAGAAGGGAGAGAAGAGAAATTAAACAATTTTGTATTGTGATGAAAGCGCTATGAGGAAAATACAAGGGGAATGGGTCAGGCAGGTCTCTGCCGGGAGATTCCGAGCTGAGGCCTGAATAACACCAAGCCAGTGGTGAGGATAACAAGCTAGAGAAGGGTTCCGGGAGAGGAAACAGTAGGTGCCAGGGCTCTGGGGTGGGAACACCCGGATGTGTTGAGGGGTAAAGGGAAGACCCTCGTGACTCCCGGGAAATAAAGGAGAAGAAGCCTTGAGACAGACTCAGCACAAAGTCCTTCCAGCCCCACAAAAGTTCGTGCATGGAGCTGGAAAGGTGTGCCTGGAGGTCAGGAAAAGAGATGAGAAGCTTAATCTTAACTAATGTCCTTCCTGAGAAGAGAGGAGCTTAAG